TAGGGAAACTAAGGCACAGACAGACGGGACTTGCTCAGGGTGACACTCAAAGTCAGCCTTACAGGCAGAAACAGAAGCCAGGAATCCTGATTTGTAATCTCCCTGCCACCCCTTTACCCCACTGATGCATTTTTCTCCCTCGCATCAGTCATAGGAGGTGCTGGAAGGTCCTGCAGCTCTGAGCAAACAAACTCCTGAGCTATCCAGACATCTTGCTCCAGGATGTGTAAATATTGTCCAGTTGTGCATGATACAGTAAGCAAACACTGCGGGCAGCCGTTCAGCTTAAACGTATGGCGTCACTGTCTCTTAATTGCTTATACTTTCTTAGGCAGAACTCCATGTCCGGGTTTGCGGAGGAACCTGTTTAATGAACAATGCTCATTGTCACACAAATGTGTACATCCTGCCAAGATAAACACTCTGCTCTCCTAACAGCAGGGAGACTGCCCCAGCCACTTGCATACACTTCACAAATTAAAGGATCTCTGTCCAGTTGCATTACAACCCAGGTTTTAAATTAAATTATATGACACCAAAGGGCAATCAAAAATTATTTTTGCATGAAGTCTGCAGAAACGTGGCTCTCTTCTCTGTGTGTGAGCAACCCATAGGGAGAATTTTTTTTTTTTATTCCAGGCCCTGATCAGTGCTTTGTTGTAGCCAGAGTTGCCCATTACGTTAAAAATATGATCCCAGCTCCAGAGTGTGAGCAGAGAGATAAATGGATGCAATGTAATAATGAGGGGAAGTCACGTAGTTACAAGTGAAACTATTAGGAACTGTGCAATTCACTCCGTTTCCTTGGACTCTTCTGCCTCTCTCAACCTAAGTATAAGAAAAGAGACAACAGGTTACAAATTCTGGAGGCAGGGACCATCTTGCGTGGTTGCAAACTGGGTTGCCTGCAATAAATGATTGATAAATGGGGTCTCCTATTCCAGGGGCAGGCAATTATTTTGGGCAGAGGGCCACTTACTGAGTTCTGGCAAGCCACTGAGGGCTGCATGACAGACAGCCAGGGGTAGATAAACATTAATTTTCTAATTTTTTTAGGGGCTCCGCAGGCCAGATAGAATGGCCTGGCGGGCTGCATCTGGCCCACGGGGCGCATTTTGCCCACCCCTGCTCTATTCCCATCTTTTCCAGTCTTCAGGGAAAAAGCCAAGAATTCAGCCTTTATGCCCCTCTTCCCACCTCCCCAAGACCTGCATCTGTGGACATGTGCTTGTTCTCTGACATACTGGTCAGTAGGATATAGTAGAGTGAATCCAGTTGTGGGCACTCTTTCTAATGAGCTTTCCACAATTTGGTTGAGCTTCAAGTTTGCAGAGCAGCATAATCAATGTAACTCAGCTGTGACATGGCAGCAACTGGCTGAAATGATTTAATTAAAAAAAAATCCACTAAATGGAAATGTGCAATCCAGTAGGTAGATACTGGCATCCTCAATAAATATTTTGAATAGCCCTCTGTTGAGCTCCAGTGAGGAGCATGGTAAAATGAATAGCTTTTTCAGGCCAGCTGGTCTGTACCTTGCAAGGTTTTTACACAGGGGCTCAACCTTGATTCATAGGGCATCTATAATGGGAGGATCAAGTGGTGTCTTGCTGAGGAGCCATCTTTGCAACAAGACCCTCAAGATCAGATTTTTTCAAAGGCAAGGTTTCCGAATGCCAGAACTGGGACCAGATCTTCAGTAAGCTCAGTTTCAACTTTAAGACACCCAACAAAGACTGATTTTTCTCAAAGAAGCACATGCAATGTGCTGAGCTCTTCTGAAGAACTGACCTTGGTTGTGTGAGTGCTGATCCCCCTTGGAAGTGATGGGCTTAATCCAAGGCCCTCCTACCTGTTGTTAGCACCTGGGTAATTGTCTGACCCTTTCTTTCTCCCTCTGGCCCCTAGTTGCCTGAGATTAGGTTGCCTTGCACTAAACTAATCATTCTGGTTTTGTCCAGGAGTGTCTGTTCAAGTGCCTGGGCTTGATCCTGACCTTTCAACAAGTAGTTTTTAAATGGTTGTGCTCTTTTGTTGAGAAAAAGTAGAAGTGGAACTACTCCTGCTTTACTCTGAGGATCAGATACTGGCCCCATTTGTGCAGACCAGTCATCCGTTAGTTTTGCTGCCGCTCTGGCAAGCAGAGGCCTTTCAAAAACATTGTCTTATTCCACATCGGAACTTCCAGTGCTGGCTCCTTTTCCTCCCTCCATCCAGACTGCCTGTGCTCAAGCAAATCTGCCTTGCTGATACCACTTAATAAAAGCAAAGGGGTCCTAATTGCTTTGATTTGTGCCCCTGCTGGCACAAGATAACATGCGTGTGAGCAGTAAGATAGACCGTGTCCCAGTGACCTTTATGCCTTTGTTCAATAGCTCCAATATCACCTCCTAGCTGCATTCATGTGCTGATTTGCTTTTAACGTGACAAGCTGGCAAGCTAATTTTCAGCACGAGTCCCTGACAAATGAGGCACCTGACTTTGCCCTTCCAGGACAGCCTAGCTGATTTGCTTTGCTTCCACAACTGTGGGGTTGGAAGCAAGGATTTCTATTGTGTAAGGCTCGGTGAAAGATGTGCGTATGATATGGAGCTAATCACTGCCCTGCAAAAGGTCATACAAGCTAATCAAGTCTCAGCTAGTCATGCAGGGCTTTTCTGTGGGTTTCCCATTCAAACTGATAGGCATTTCATGTGCAGAGGGTGCATTTCATGTGTGATGTTGGAAGGATGGGAAGAAGGTTGGTTTCAGTAATCAGCATGTTATTCTAGGAGTTAGAAGATCTGGGTTCATGCCCCTGCGCTGCTAATTCCCCTTTGACCATGAGCAATTAATTTGGGGTCAGACTTGAAGATTTAGACACCTAATTCCTTGAAATCCATGGGAAATAGGTGTCCAAATACCTTAAACTCCAGTTGTAAGCCTCATCAGTAACAACAACACGAGGTCCAGAGAGCTGCCTTTTCACTTCTTGCCCTCTCCTCCCATCTCTGTTGCAGGCTTATTTTTCGTCTACTGCCTTTTCCTTGCCTTGCACTGAGCGAGCCACCCAACTCCAGAACAAGCACATGGTGACCAGCGGTCACGCTTCAGCACAGGCAGGGAGGTTCTGGAGAAGTGGAGTACAAAACAGAAGCTGTTGCCTGAGCCAAGGCCAGCAAGGAAGCAGAGAGAGGACATGTGAACCATATAGCAGCTTGCTCAGGTTCACTGCCAGCCCAGTAAATGAGCCATGCATGTTTAAGGGAGCCCTCAGGTTCCTACACCTACTGTACAGGATAATGGGGAAGGAGTAAGTTCCAAGATGCAGCTTGGCACTGAGTTGGCTTCTGTTCTTGGCTCTGCCACTTGCATGCTGGGTGACCATAGCCAAAGAACTTCTCTCCTCTGTGCTTCAGTTTCCACATCTGTAAGATGGAGATGAGAATCATTAACCCCTTTATAAAGTGCATTGAGGTCTACAGGTGGAAAGTACTCTGTGAGGACTGTGTGGTACTAGAATTGGCACTCGGCTGCTGCCAGAGGGGTGGGTGCTGGAGGGGCTGACTTCAGCTGTGGCTATAGGTCCAAACAGGGACTTAGATGCACAGTGCTGTGCATTGCATACGCAAACTTGTAGGCACCTGATCCTCCACCTGCCCTTTCTCCTGGTGTGGAATCCACAGCCTGGGCTCCAGACTCTGTACAATGCACAAGGTAAGTTGGGCACTTTGATACTGGATCCAAAATAGGTGCTCCATAGGGAGCACAACCAGGTTGCTTGAGCTCTTTTCCCTCTCTAGGGCTTGGGGACTCCCTTCAGGAGTTAGTTTCCCCCTGCTGCCCTTGAAGGTAGGCACACTTGCTTCCTTCAAGGTGGGGTGTCTCTCCCTTATACGAGTGACTGGGACAGTCACTCAGGGCATGGGACACCCAGTTTCCATTTCCTCAGCCTGAAGAGATTTAAGCCCACTTGTTCCACTTTGCAGGAGAGTGCCCTAGGCTCCAAGCTACAGCATGAAGTTCCCTCTTATGTTCTTTTTGTGCAGAAACAGAATTTGAGATAAGTGTTATCAGAGAAGCACGGGTCTGCAGCCTGGTAGCCAGGGTGCTCTTCTAGGAGGTAGGAAACATGTCTTTGAATTCCCCTGACTGCAGAGGGAATTAAACCCAGCCCACCTTATTCCTGGGAGAAGGGCAGCACCTCCTTGTGCATCAACTGCTTTAAAGGAAAGCCGAGGATTCCCACTGCATTGCCTATAGGCATGCAATAGTTGTGTCCAGAACCTGTGTCCTGGGTCAGGTCCTCAAGAACTGATATGGGCTGCTTGCTACAGCCTCAGGGCACAACTCCATGTTGCTGCTCCTGCTGCTGCCTGGTGGGCAGGGAGTGCCTCTCTATGGGGCAAACTGTGTTCGGTTCGGGCTCCCAGGGAGAGGGCTCAGAGCTCCGAGACTGCAGTGGGCAGCCCGCATCTGCCCCTACCCCATGCACAAATCTGGGGGCACGTGCCTCCCCATACTCCCCTTCCTGGGAGTGCATGCAGCAGCAGGGAGCTGCAACCCACTCACCCTCTAGATGAGCTGCCTGCGGCTCTGTCCCACTCTCCACCCTGGCCCTGGGCCCCATGCACTACCCTGGCTGGGCAGTGCCACCAGACCCAGCCCCTGCCCCTCCCCCACTACCTCCCCCACATAGACTTACCTGCAGGGGGCTGGGGGAGTTGCTCTCTACCACTGCTTGGGGCTGGACTGGGACTTGATGTTCCCATTTTGGGACTGTCCCACCCAATTTAGGGATGGGTGGTACGCTGGTCTCTTCCCAAGAGGGACCAGGGCCCTTGGGCCCCCATGTACTGGGCGTCTATGGGTGGAGGAAAGAGATGACCAGGGTCAGGACAGAGCTGGAGGATGAGGGAGCAGTCTTCATTCGGGTTTCAGTAGCAGTGGAGCCACAAGAGCACAGACTACGCAAACTCACTTGGGGGCCTGGTTATGTTCTTGATGGTTGAAGGCTGCACTTTCATGACTTTTCAGAGCCAACTAACTAGATACAAGCCAGCTCAGATATCTGCTGCAGTGTCACTTCCAGCTGTAGTTAACTGTCAGTGACGTCTGATGAGAACTTGTGAAAGAGGAGATAGAGAAGTCAGATCCTTATTTTTCCTAGCTGTGTACTGCAGCAGCACTGATTTACCATGTGAGCTCAGTGGCATGTGCCAGGCCATGATGGGAACAATGCAGGGTGTGGGTAATCACAGCTCAGACCATGTTACAGTTAACAGTGGTGAAATGAATACACTCCGACATGCCACTGTGCAGGCAGAAAACATGAGGGACTCTGCCACTAAATCTGGCAAATGTGGGGCAGAATCGATGAGCTTTCATGTTTTAAAGATTTTGGTGCAAGTTTTCTTGGCTCAATAGAAGCGGTCAGAGAGGGCTGGCAGGGAACTAGGAAATTGAGTTGGATTGTTAAAGGTGGATGTTGGGCTCAGCTCTCCAGTCATCTCCTCATTGATGTGAATGGTCTTCCCCTTCATTTCCCACCAATGCAAATAGAAGGAAAATGTGGTTACAGGTTGAGTATTTGCACTTATGCATAGCAGCCTGGGGTCTAATTTACTTCTCAGGATGCAGATAGACACCTGGTATAAAGTGTCTGTTTGCTTCATTAGGCAATAAAGTCCTTCCATAAATCTGGCCTGCTGAGCTTGATTTTTATCAATCTGAAGTAAATCAGGAATCATTCCACTGGAGTTGCCGATCCATAATCTGTTCAGCAGAAACTCCCATCACGGTGATAATAAATATGCTAATGACATCCATTGAGCTGGGTAAGGTTGCTTGGTGGAGACAAAATGGGGTGTAAGATTTTGAAAGAAGACCATACGCGCATGTGGATCTTCCTCTGGTTCAGAATCTAACCTCAGTGAAAGCAGTGTAAATCAGGAATATTTCCACTGAAACCAGTGGATACGGTTCTGATTTGCAGGGTTGCAGCTGGGGCTGGATTCCAGTTGGCTGTCTTAACGTCGGCCCCTGTACTGTGTACACAGCGTGTTCAGGATGCTCTGATATCAATTAGGATTCATTGCATTGGAGTCGTTAGAGGGACCCAGCACTGGGGAGATGCATGAAGCCCTTATGACTGTGAACACCCAGCTAGGTCTTGCATGTATCCAGCTTTAGCTGTCTTCTTTGTTTTCTCTTCCAGTCTGAATACCACTACGAGTACACAGCCTGTGACAGCCTTGGCTCTCGGTGGAGGGTGGCCGTGCCACACACCCCAGGACTCTGCACGGGCCTGCCAGACCCCATCAAGGGCACTGAATGCTGTAAGCTCCTGCTGAGGCTGTTTGATGGTTCACGTTCATCGATGACTGGTGTGGGCTGCTCTGAGCCAGAGGCTGTGTGGCGGGGAGTGACTCTACCTTTCACGTTTTCGCTGTGCCATTCTCTGTCCAAATCACTGTGGGATTATTAAATGATACAAGCCAGCTCTAGCTCCTGCTGGGTCAGCAAGCTCTTTACCATTGGCTCCTATGGAGACAAACCAGTAAATATTCACCTCAAATTTACACCACTGACAATCAGGAGAACTGAGTTGGATTTCTCTCTTACTCACAGTAGCATGAATGATTCCCAGCTGGGCCTGATTCATGCTTCTCTCTCATCCCAGTGCAGCTGAGTAGTAACACTACTGAGGTCCACATAGTTAAACCAGAGTAAACAAAAGGAGAATCAGACCCCCACATTATCCAAGTTTCTTTCATTAAGTGTGTTTTTTCCCATGCAGCAGTTACAATAGAGACTTCAAATGAAACTCAACATTACATAAGCTACATAATGGTGCAGTTCCTTAAAAGGTACCAAGAGAATCTGTCTGCTTGATAGCAGTAAACACTCATTATCCAAGACTTCAGCTGCTCTGCCATTCATGGGAAAGACTAAAGGAAGACAGGATTGCAGCGGTGGGGGGGAGACCTTTAAAGAGAACCGAGTATCAGTTCAGTCAGATAGAAAACCCATTTGACTGTGAAAACCAATTATGCATTCAGAAATGCTATTCCTTGCCTGAAGCACAGCTTCTTATTCGAGGTTATTCTCCGTTTATGGTTGTAGCCTTTTTAACACCTGGCAAGTATTTTCCGTTTGTTTTCCTTGGGCATTATTCTACCATCATTCATCTCTGTGCAACCCTGTGGATGTCAACATATGACCTTGGCAGGCAAGGCTCTTTGGGTAGATGTGATATCTTGTATTAGACCCACTAAATAGTAGGGAAAAGTTCTTTGCAAGCTTTTGGGCACAAACACCCTTCCTCGGGCATTGGTAGACTCTGCTGCTGTCCTCAGTCTCCCAATGCCTGAAGAAGGATGTTTGTGCCCAAAAGCTTGCAAAGAACTTTTTCCAACTATTTAGTTGGTCTAATAAAAGATATCACATTTGTCCAAAGAGCCTTGCCTGTCTATCTCCTTTAGCCCAGCTACAACCAACAACCCCGCAACATATGACTGTAGCCCTTGAAAGAAGTGCAACAAATAAAGCAAAAGACCAGAGAGGAGATTCTGAGATCTCTCTCAACTTCCACTTATAATTTTATTTTTAAATATGCATTCAGTTGAGATGCATAGAATTGCTGGACCAAGAAAATCAAGGATGTGTGGCTGCAATCCAAAAGGTTTCCACCTAACCACCACTTACAAAAATATTCATAACCAGATACAATTTTTTTAACGCCTAATTTTTTTTTTCAGATTCACCCCTACTATTTTGTAAATCGCCTTTTATCACTAGTTTTGTTTCATTCACACTTGATGTGACTTGAGCACTGTTTAATTAGACTGATACGTGAAGTCAGGATTCTGCTCCCAGTTACATGATTGCGAAGTAGGAGTAGGAGTAACTCCATAGCAATGGGCCACTCTGAGCCCATTGCTATGGGCTCAGAGTCCCATTAGTGTTAGATGACTTTTGCTAGTCTAAAGCTTGAGGCGAATAAAGGCCATGAATGGGGTGTAAACATTCAGGAGATTAGAATCTGGATCCAGAGTTGAGTTGATTTTAGTGTGGAGTTACAGTAGACAGCAGCACACGTTTAGACTGCAGAGTGCTGTAGATTCATAAGCTGTTCATATATAACGTTTAAGCTCTTAATGAACAAAACCTCTCAGGATGGCATGAAAACCCACTATCTGTGGTAGGCGTAGGAATGTCAAGACTTTGACAACACCTTTTGAACTCCCACTGCAGTGCAGGTTCATCTTCGCTGTGGACTGAGCCTGTGTGCCTGGAGAATAAATCCATGGTTTATTCTTGGACATCACCTTTCTTGGACAAGAGCTAAAAGTAGCCTGTGTGTGTCCTTTTGGCCTTACAGGGGGGTTTGTGGCCACATCTAAGCTGTAACTGAAGACATGATTCCACCACAGATAGACATCCCCACACTAGCTCAGGTAATAGCAGTGCAGCTGCATCAGCACAGATATAAGGTATAGGCTGGAATCCTGCATACATATGTAGGGTCCCCTCATGCACCCTTACTGAAATCTGTACCCATGCAGTGTCACTGCTGTCATCGCCCATGCTACCAGGAGGAAAGCTTGCTCAAGGATACTTGCAAATGCTGCAGTTGCAGCCCTTGCTGCACGGAGAACTTGCAAATTAACGCACTGCTTGTGACCTTCCCCATATAACATGTGAGACCATGTATGTGTATGAAATGCACACATCCTTCCCATGCAAGGGGAGGAAACAAGTAGGGGCCTGACCACTTATGACTGGGTGAAAGTCTGGAGCCTGTGCTGCATAAAAGGCCAGATAAAAATGGCCCTGCTCTGGCTTTAAAATCAATGGAAATTCAAAGGATTAAATTCAATTTCTGCTTTTGTTCCCCAAATCTCCAGCAATGTTTTTGATAATGTCCTCTAATAAATGCTGGGCAGACGGGGGTAATTTTTTAACCGAGGCCGTCTTGCAGTCTCGGTTACTTCTGGCTTCACTAAAAGGCTAAAGCCTGGCTTTGCCTTGGAGCCTTGTAAATGTCTGCATATCAGCTTGAAAATCATCACATGTCCGCACCTAGAAACAACATTTCATATGTAACCCAGCTGTAGCGTTACAGTTATGGAGAAATCTTTGCATGTGATAAGCTGTTTCATAGCACTGTTGCTAATTTATACGTGCTCTGTGAGTAAGAACAAATCAGCCTTCTCCATGTCAGTTTTCCTGCCTGTAAAATGGAAATAATTAATAATCCCCTAACACTTCTCCAGAATTCTGTAAGGGGACTGTGTTTTGAGATCCAAGGGTCACAGAAGTAATGGATACAGATGGGATTGTTGGGTGGAGACTCTTTCTGTGTCCCTTTCTCCCCTTTGTCCTGATCTTTCTTTCTCTGCTGTCCTACATTACAGCCTTTTCCTGCAAAGCAGGTGAATTCCTGGACATGAAAGACCAGTCATGCAAATCCTGTGCAGAGGGCAGATACTCCCTGGGCACTGGCGTTCGCTTTGATGAATGGGATGAGCTACCCCATGGCTTTGCAAATGTGGCAACCACCCTTGAGGTTGACAATAGCTTCTCAGAATCAGCAGAGAACTGCACCACGTGAGTCTGTTGTTGCTAGATGCTGAAAGAGCCGCACAGCTTGAGAACAGAGCCATGCGAGCTACGAGTTTTCACCAACAACCTTGACCTGTCATGCTGGACAGCCTAATTTCAGAAGTGCTGAACATTGTAGTGGAAGTTGGTGTGGGTTGCAGACTTTTTTGTAACAACCCTAACCAGTTTTATTCTGCTCACATTCACACTGGTGTTACACATCTGGCTTTCCTCTGATATCACTGGTGTCACCTCTGTTTTACTGACACTCAATGGACATGGCTACTAGATCAGCATGTCCAGGCTGGTAGATCCTTCCTTGTCCATTTTCCCAATGTTTTGCTAACCCCAGTGTGAAAGGCTTCCAGTTTGGAAGCTTCTTCTCTTTCTTTTTGGTGAGCTCTCACCATGAATAAGGGCTTCATGATGTTGGACTCGAGTTTTCCCTCTCTTACAACTCCTCCAGGCCCCTGCAGATGTGCTACAACCTCATTGCTCCCCCCTTATTTAAAATTCTGCCCAGTGTTGGATTAACCTGTAGAACGCACTGTTGCATGATGTTGTTGAGCCCACGAGTGCAGTGGGATTTGAAAAGCTCAGTGAGGTGTCTGTATACAGAGTAATCGCAGCTATGTTTAATATGATTAAGTATGTAAGGAAGCTAAACTCAAATGGGCAAGCCACTTTCAGTTTTGGGTTAGATATCTCTCTCCCCATGAACACATTTCCATTGTGTCTTACTGAGATTCTAGTCCCAGACTTGAAACATCTGGTGCTCAGCATGGACACAGACATGGGGGTAGATGGTTTCTTGGCCTATTGCACTTCAGCTGCTTCTTCCCTACTGCTAACTACAATCCCACTTTTACTGCTGTTTAAATAGCCTGTTTAAATAGAAACCTTGGCACACTCTTGCAGGCGCTTTCAGCCTGAGGACTCTGATTGCAAGGATGCAGGGTTAAATGAAGACTAGGTTTATTTTTCTAGCGGGTCTGTTCTAACTCAGTCAGAAATAGTAGATTCTCTACAGGGATTTCTGGACAAGGGCCACTGGCCTGTACTAGGCAAAACTCAAATTAGATGGTCACAACCATTCCTTCTGGCCCTTAATATCTGAGTGCTGTACTTGCACCTGCCTTAGACTGACCATCAGAAACCTAACCAGAGCAATCACATCTTGGATCCAGAGCTGGGATCTACCTGGAAGTGGAGGGTGGGTGAGCCCCAACTGTGAGGCCACTTCTGTCCATATCAACTCTTCTGCATTACCTATATTTGGCAACATCATTGCAGTATCCCTCAGTGTTTTGTGGCTGTTTCAGACTAAACTCTGAATTAAATCAGTTGTTTCGAGTGAAGAGAGGCAAGATCTCCATCTCAGAGAAACCAAGCCAAACTAATCCCCTTAAGGCAACAACTTCCACCATACTGCAAACATCAGTGGAACTTAACATTCATTAGTAGATAAAAGCATAGGCAGATAATGTTCTTTGGGTAAATGTGATATCTTTTATTACACCAACTAAATAGTTGGAAAAATTGTTTTTTACAAGCTTTTGGGCACAAACACCCTTCTTCAGGCATAGGAAGAGTCTGTTAGTGTTTGTATGTTCTCCTGGGTGGAATAGATCAATAGAAGCATAAGCCAATATGCAAATATTAATAAATTAATAAATAAAAGCATAGCCTTTGTTATCCTAAAGGTTGCCAAAGCATTTCACAAGTTTTGCTGGGATCCTTTTTATCACTACTGTATGGTAGTCAACTCTGGGTGGTAAACTATAGTTTTCAGCAAGGTGAGGAAATGAAGGAGAATGCTATAGGAAGTGCAACTGCAGGTGGAAATAAAGGCCTATTGTAGTCAGAGATTGCATTAGTTCAACTAATGGTGTCATTTTAAGTGCAAGATACAGTGTGGTCAGCCTTGATTTGAATTAAAATAGAATTATGTTGAATTTTAGCTTAATTTGGTAAAGAATTGAATTAAACCCTATTTATTTATTTAGCTTAAATCTGGCAGGGTGTATGCATCAGTAGTCGGAAAGAGCTTGGATTTAAAGTGCCAGCATTAGCTCTCTATGTTGACATTAATTCCACATACACAGGCACTCTTAAACTGTGTCTGTACTGCATATCTGAGATGTGACTGCAGCACATGTAGGCACACTCGGGTTAATTTTAATCTAGCTAGTTTGGGTCCTGATAGGGATGAAGTCACAGTGACATGAGCATCATCAGGGCCAGAACAAGGCTTCCTAGAACCATGGGCATTTCCTTGGGTTGCCAAATTAAAAGTCATCCATGGTGCAGTCACACCTCTCCAGCTGCAGTGCAGACACACTACTCATCAGGTGGAATCAGAGTGCTCATACTAAGAACTACTGTGCAATAGCTATTCTGAGTTATTCCCCCATATAGACAAGCCCTTAGTGAAACCAGAGCATCCCTGAATAATAGGCAAAGGGCTCCATAGACTTGATGCCATCTCCCTCCAGAAGGAATGATATCAACCCTGTCTTTCTGCTCAGTGCCTGAGTTCACTACCACACACCCTCCTCCTTTGTGCACAGGCTGCTCCCACACACTGCCTATATTCTGCGACACTGCCTTTATTTGTCTGCTCTCTTTGATCACTTCATGCAGAGAGAGGCAAGCTCAGATTCTTCAGTCAAACTATCCTTTTATGAGTAACTCCCCAGAAGACTGCAACTCAACCCTATCAAGAGAATTTATGCAATTTGCAAATGTAACCTACTTCTAGTGTCACTTTAATTATTCATTCAACGTCTAGGCATATTTGTAGCAGATGCAGCACTGCTAATTTTCATCCCCATTTCTTTTGCAGTAGGATCAGATCATCTTATTTCCTCAGAGGGAAGACCGGATATTATAGAGATAGGAGTGGGACAGGGTTCCACCCCGCCATGTGACATGCTAGGGAAAGCAGAACTAATGGAAGAGTGTGGGGGTAGGAGGTCCCCTCTACCTCCATTAGAGCAATCAGTGGAAGCAGAAAGTTATCTCTTTAGGCAGCTATGCCATTCTGGACTATGTTTGACCCTTGTATTGGTGCTGTATTTCTCTGGCAACATACACTGCACAGTTGCTGCTAGGCTGAGATATTTTTGATCCTCATCCTGAGTTTCATACTGCTGAGATATTTTTAGGAGGGGAGGGCCTCTGTCTTTGTGTTGATATTCTAGTTCTTGTTAAGCTGTTTTGTTCTCTTTGTCCTCCTGTTTTATAAATTATTCTGTTGGCTTATTATAGTCCACCCTGGACCTTTGTTGGGAAGGGCAGTATCTAAATTGTATAAATGGAGATCAGAATTTGGCCTCTTATGTCAAAGCAGAAGGTTTGGTCCTTGTGACCTGCTTAGCAGTGTGTGCCTTTTTGCTGCAGTATAGTTTGAGCTGATATATCTTGGTGGGCTCAGCTGTCATCCAGCCTATGTTTCTCTTCCTTACACTAGTGCTAACCTCCCCAGTAGTATCCCAAGCAGCACCTGTGCTGCACTTGCCAACCACCATGCTTCTTTCTCAATCCTATTCCAGGTCAACGTGGGTGCCTCTGGGAGACTACATTGCCTCCAACACAGATGAGTGCACAGCCACCCTGATGTATGCTGTCAACTTGAAGCAGTCTGGCATGGTCTCCTTTGAGTACATCTACCCAGACAGCAGCATCGTCTTCGAGTTCTTTGTACGTTGCCTGAGTTTGCACCTCTTTCATTACAAATCTCCACCTCACATTCCTTTAAAAGATTCTCCCTGTGATGGTTAACCACCACGTCCCCAGGTGGGTCAGCAGCAGGGTTTGAACCTGTGATCTCCACTTTTTGCAGAAAGCATATCAGTTGCCTGAGCTGAAGGATCCTATTTGGCTGGCTAAGACAACTGCAGCTTCCTAGCCTGTATATATGTCCTGAGACCACTCAAGTTTCCATAGGGCTGTTAGCTCCAGATGGAGATGTATTTTGAGAGTCTTCAGGCTCTATCTTCTAGCTCTGCAGGAAATGATTCAGTGTTGCCTGTAGGAATCTGTCTATTCATTGGTTTGTCTGTATGTCTAACTCATTTGTTTCCGATTCCAAAGCAGCTGCTGAAAATGTGATCTGTTTGCAGTGTCCCTAGGGGAAGAACAGCTAGAACAGGTCCTTCCCTAAAGCATGGCTGGCAGCTGTCCTTGGCTTTAATAAATTAAAAAGCCTCACAAGCTCAGTGCTTCATAGGTACCTTGGTGTGGATATTCTGAGCTGGAGTGTTGCATGCCAGGCTATATAGTCCCTGTAGCTTGAGCCTACTATTGCTTCATGTGATAAGTCAGGTGTGTGGCATTCAGGCTCCCAGTATGTTGGCAGTCTTACCTATGCCCATTTTGAGAGCCTCCATTTTGTGATAGCAGAGCTGAGAAGGTGGTGCAAAGCCCCTTTTAAAGACCACTGAGTGATACTGTTGTCATCCACTGTGATTAAAAACCCAGTAGCTTGCTCCTCTGATCCCAGGCCTTCAGAAGCTGCATGCTCATCCCAAGTTCCCTATTGCCCTAGGTTCAGAATGACCAGTGCCAGCCAACCGTGGAGGAGTCAAGGTGGATGAAAACCACTGAGAAGGGATGGGAGTTCCACAGCGTAAGTACAAACCAAAGGGCAGAGCTTAATTCTGTTCAACTAAGTGGGATCCAGCTGGCAGTGTGAGAGGCTTTGGAGTCCAAGCCCCATGCCAACCCCATAGTTCACAGCTAGCACTGGAGGTGCAGCAGAGAGATTAAACAGAAGTAATTTCTCCCAGACCATAGGGTAGATCATAGGAAGGTTAAAATGCAAGTAATATGTGTTGGGTGTCACACATTCAGCACCCAAAATCTCTAGTCCCCTTCACTCTAGGGGTAACTCCACTCTCCCAGCCAAATTGCTTCTCTCTAACACAGGTTCTAGAGGGCAGGTCAAGGTTTGCAGGCAGCACTTAATGGGCTGAATGAATGCTGGACCCCTGGGGTCTGATTCCAAACTCACTGGGTATGTCTACACTGTCTCCACCCCACTCTTCAAGCTGTCACTGTAGAATAAGCCCTGCTCATTCACACGCTCCAAACCGAGAAACTCAGTGGAGTGGCCACTCTAGGGTTGCTTCCTGCCACCATTCTCAAGCACACCAGAAACCCAGATCTTAAGAGTGGCACTAAGCAGCATTCTCAGAGTTGCCTCACTGTTGCATTCCCTAGTTTGGAGCACATAGAGTGGGAGCAGGTGGGTATGACTTTTTTTTCGCAGCTGCAGATGTGAAGGTGGCGCAGAGCCGGTGTGGATATAACCACTCACATCACTACAGATCTGGGGTGGCAGAAGCTGGGCTTTGGTAGGCGAGATCAACATTAGATCTTCACTCTCACTGCAGAGCCAAACTCCTTCCTTGTCCAGTGTGCGTCGCTCTGGACCCTGCTCCAAGACCAAACAAAATCATGTTCCATCTCTTGTCGGGACCTGAGCCTTGTCCTGTTTTTGTTCTGTTTACCTCCTCAGGTGGAACTGAGTCATGGCAACAATGTCCTGTACTGGAGAACCACAGCATTCTCAGTGTGGTCCAAGATCCCCAAGCCTGTGCTTGTAAGGAACATTGGCATCACAGGTACATGAATGGCAGTGTCTACTTTCTATTCCAATGCCCATTGGGGGGGGCAGCTGCCTTGACACAAGCAGCCCAAGTGCTATTTACTGAGTGTTTCTCCTTTGCTCCTTCTCCTTCCCCCAGGAGTGGCCTACACCTCAGAATGCTTCCCCTGCAAGCCAGGCACTTATGCATCCAAACCGGGATCTTCCTTCTGCAAGCTTTGCCCACCAAACTCGTACTCTGGCAAGGGAGCCACCTCATGCCAGCAGTGTGAGCCAAACACTTACTCAGGTAATGAAGGGGTGTACACACAGACATACCCATGTGCATGCATGGCCTGTGTGCACTGCAGTCAGGAGGAGTGCTTAAAGGATATACAGGGGTGTAGGTTGCAGCCATGTTGGTCTAAGGACATAGGCAGACAAAGTTCCTTGGGTGAATCTGATATCTAAGATGACACTGTGATCTAAGATATCAGATTCACCCAAGGAACCTTGTCTGCCTAAAGGATATACAGGCCTGTCTGAGGTAGCTTTTAATCTAGCTAGCTTGGGTAATAAATCACAGTGAAGACTCAGCTGCATGGACTTAAGCACTGACTGTACAAGCTCATCCAGGACCCTGGTCACCTATTCAACTAGGCAGCTCAGGCTGAAGCCCAGGCTGTGGTGGGTTTGCTACCTTGGTATGCAGCTAGCTTAGCTGGACCAGTACTTACTGTAGTCACATCTCTGCTTGCCATGTAGATGTAATTTAATACATACATGCATGCACACGCACATGGCATTTGCAAGACAGGACCTTTTGGAAATAAGACATACCTTTTCAGCAGTGTCAATCTCAACATGCTATTCCACAAGACATCCTTACAGCAGCAAGATCCATCAGCCTAGTGTAGCTTTTAGAGCAGCTGGTTTCTTCCACTTTCCTCATCCCACTCTTCCCTGTCCTTCTCATTATCTTCCTCTCTCTTTAGAAGCAAGGGAAGCAAAAATTATTAATGATTTATTATTAATGCTCCAAATATTTCAGTTTTGCAGGACTGATACCGATGGAAGCTATTTGGTTAGAATCAAAAATTTTTTTGCAGTGGAATATGCTGCATTTAGGGGAAGAAAATGATACATGGAGAATACGGCCCAATGCAACAATAATTTTAGGACAGGCAAACTTCTTTATGGCATTCCTTCTCAGTCAGTGTTGAACATCTAAATTGGGTGTTTCCTTTCTCTTTGGATTGTAACTTTGTCCATGGTTTGTGCTCAGAACCACTTCATGATTGCATGTGACCCTGTTTCTCATCTAGCCAGTCTGGGCTAACTGATTGTCTGTGGGACTCTCGAACCTTCCTTACAAGGTCTGTGGTCTGATTTGCAGTTTTGATTCCTAGTTTGGGAAATGATTTTTTAAACTGAAACCTCACAAAATCCCATTATCCAAAGCATCACATCTTCTAGAGGGTTTAGAGTAGTGTGGGTCAACCTTTTTGGCAGGTGTGCCACAAATTAGAAGTATAACTTTTCCGAGTGTCACTCTGATCCCCTCTCCCTGCCTGATCTGCTCTGCTTCCTGCCCTGTGCTTCCTGCCTGATCTGCTGCTCACTCTGCTTTCTATGCCCTTCCCTATCTTCCACTGTGTTGCCTGTCTCCTCTCCAGTCTGCTGCATGCTGCACACAAAGCCTTCCTGTGCTACAAGTTGGCCAACCTTGGTTTAGAAGACAGAATAAACTGGTATAATAGTATAATACCTTGGTCTTACATAGTGCATTTGTTGTAGATCTCCAAGTAGTGTTCCAAGGTGGTTGATATAATGACTCCCATTTTACAAATGGAGAAACAGGCACAAAAAGGGAAGTAACTTACTCCAGACTGGCTGAACAAGGACTTGAACCCTCAGGCCTTAGTTCCTAGGTTAGTGTCCGTTCCACTAGGCCAGTGTTTCTCAACATGTAGGTCATGACCCAAAAGCGGGTTGCAAAAATATATCAAAAGGGCCATGAGCAAACTTGGGGGGCACGAGGGGACTGGGGCCTAAGGGTGGGGGCAGTGGGTTGAGACTAGCTACTGATGTTTATAAATAGGTCCTGGTACAAAAAAGGTTGAGAACCACGTCTCTAGACCACAGGTTTATGTGGTGAGGGCATACAGTGCAGCCTCTTTTTCAGACATGCTTCAGGTTTTCAATATACAGCAGCCCAAGACCTTTCTCTTTTGCAGCGCTGTGAAGGTCAAGGGCAGGCCCCTTCCATTGCTGTTATCCATTAACCAGACATAGCCAAGCTGTCAAGCAGTGAAGAGTGCAAGAGTTTTCCAAAGAACCAGGTGCTTGGCGGAGCCATGCTTTCATGTTAGGCAGTTGTTTGAAGAGTAAAAGCATATGCTTGTTCCTTCAGCGATAATTTTCTAGCGCTTTGTACAGCAGCTTACCAAGTCAACAGAGGGAGAGGGGCTCCCCTTCCTGGCACCCTCCCAATTCTTTGATTAGAACTGAATATTGAGTGGTACCTTAAAACCAGCATCTGGAGACTCAACTTGGCAAACCCCTCTCCTCTCCCCACAAAAAAAAAGAAGGCAGCAGACTGAGGTGCTAATCTTCACAGGGAGCCCAATAACATGCTAGTTACTGTGATAAATATGACAGGGAGGGCCAGCTGTTTCTATGCCTCTAATTACACACAGCTGGAGCTAGTAAGATTTGGATTATAAGAAACAAATCTTAATTGCGCAGCATTTTCCACTTGATTTAGCAGAAATGCCTGCTGGTCTAGAGAGCTCTATGGTGTGATAAAGCTGGCAGGAGGAACAGGGTCTGGGCACAGCACAGATATATGAATGGGCTTGATTGGCCACTTGGGAGACAGTGATTTCCCTATTGCTTAGATTGGTGGTTCTCAACACTTTTAGACTCAGGGGTTACCCTTGGAAAATGCCAGTTCTTAGCTTTCACTCTCTTTTTTCACTACAGAAAAAATAATAGAGTAATTCTTTTATTGCAAGGAACTTGGAAAGACCACAGCAGGTCAGAATGTCTTTAACGCTAATGAACGCTATTTGAAATCTCTTTAAGTTTTTGTGAATATTTGCACTGAGAATCACTGGCTTTGATTCTGATTTATCCCAGTGCTGCTGTTTGGAGGGTACTAGTCTGAAGCTCGGGGCTGGGTGCTTTGTGGAGCACAGGGTCTTCACTGGAGCTGCTATCACTGTGGGGCAGAGGCTGGGAGTGGACAGAACCAGTGGTCTCTTTCCAGCCCCTAGGCACTGGCCAGGCCAAGGCAGCTGGCTGAATGCATAGAGGAAAATGATTGCTTCTCATGGCTGCAGTACACGACTCCTTTCCCCAAATGTGAGTGAGCAGAGGAAGTGTTTTGTTTCAGTCATGATAGTTCCTGGAAATTCCTGTAGGCAGAAGAGAACTTTAGGCGCAGCCCTAGGAGAAGGGGTGCTGTGCACAATACAATTTAGCCCCAAGGTATTCTTCACCTCTAGGGCAGAGTGACAAGTTGCCCTGGGCATCTTTTAGTGAGGTACCAGAACAGAGGTAGTGCTGGTCCAGTGGCTCTAGGACAAGTGGGTTCAATTCCCAGATCTGCTGGAGACTCCTCATCGGACCTTGGGCAAGCTACTTAACCTCTCTGTAGCTCCATTTCCCATCTGTAAAACGGGAGTAGTAACATTGCCTTGCCCTACAGAAAGGTAGTAGTAAGAGTGCAAGATGCTCAGCCAGTCAGGTAACCAGAGGCAAATACCTTAGGCTTATAAAGAGAAGACAAAAAATACAGTACACAACCAATGTGCCTGAAGCGGGGCTATCTGGGTAATGTGCACCATTAGATCCTCAAAGGGTTAGACACTGAGCAAGCAGCTACTCCACAGAGCCTGGACTTGACACATGCTTTCTGTGATAGCTGTTCTGCCAGGAAATGTAACCAAGGCTTGACATCAAGATGAAATAGAGCGCCTCTGAATGCAGAGTCAGAGCGTCTTTTTTCACTGCACTTGTTATGGGCACAAGTGGGCTCTGTTCCCTGATGCTCCAGGGTTTTAATTCTAACAGTGGTCTCTTTCCTTCCCTTGATGATAAAGAACAAGGCTCAGCAGCTTGCAAACCTCGTCCTCCCTGCACCGATAAGGATTATTTCTACACGCACACTGCCTGCGACACTAATGGGGAGGTGAGTACCTATCAGTCCCCAGGGCTGTTTCAACATGGGTTGATAAACCACAGGGTTCCCTCATTTTACTGCAGCTGTAACACTGCTCTTCAGTGCTGTTCTTTCTATGTTCAAAGCATAGTAGAGGCATTAGCTAATTAAAGAGGGGCAGTTTACTTGACAGTCCTTTTTGCAATGTTTACCTGCGTCTTGTTACAAATAACCACCAAGACTCTCTGCCCCAGATTCCCAGCATGTTTGCTGTGGCTAAACTCCCAATCCGTTGAATGCTGGAAGCTAAAGTGGGAGTGAAGCTGGTGGGCGGTGGAGGGACATGCTGGACATGCCCCATTCACCATCCTCCTCGGCATCCACACCGTGTGAGAGACCGGATACTGGGCTAGATGCATTTATGATCTGACTTAGTAAATGGCTGTTCTTATGTTCTTGTAGCTACACAGTCAGTGTCACCGTTTCCCCATGCAGTCTGAGAGTCAGTTTTCCCTGGTGTGTGTTCTGGGTCTTTCACACAAGCCCCTGGAGACTGGAGGCATGCTCTTGTGAAGGCAGATCGGCCTGTTGAACAAGAGTGACTAGCTAGTATTGAGGTGTTTTCCTCCCTGTTACCCCATACACAATATGAAGGAAATCCATAAGAACAATGGGGCTGAATATCCATATTTTTTAACAATGCACAACATGCAAGGTCTGCATATTCATGCAGACTTCTGCTTCAGTGGTTTCAGTGATTTCTGATTCATAAAACATAGTGAGCACTGCTAGAAGGGCTCACAGACTATTTAAAAGCATATTACCCAATTTTGTTATTCCACAGCTAGGGCTTGTGTGCACATGCAAATTCTCTCATTTCACAGGCACAGTTACAATTCCTGCCCCATCACGATCCTTAGTCTGTGTTCACAGTTGTATTTGTACAATGTTGCTTATATACAGAAGCTGGTTGCTTGAAGGAAAGAGGAATGAGCTGTAATAGTAGAAGGTATTTATGCAAATACCTGCATTCTAATTTAGACACATTATTGCTGCTCTTATTTATTTTCTCATGCTACCCGAGGGCCTACAAGTTTCAGTCGTGGACCAGACCCCCAGTGCAGGATTAATCCAGGTGCACAACTGCGCTGGGGGCAGAGCATAGTTCTGGGAGCCTGGAATCCTGTGCTGTATTTCTTGGCACTGCCCGATACATGGTCTTGGGTGCCTTCCTTTCTCTGTCAGAAAGGTACTGTACTTGAGCACAGTGCACTTCCCAGTCTTGTTAGGCTTTATCTTAACTTGGAAAGCATTGGCTGCAAGGGAGGGGAAAAGCAATGTTATGCTATTGTGATGCCCTAAGCTGTCTTGCATGGTAGAGATGCTCATTTTTGCCAGCTGAAGTTGAGTTTGCTTATGCCTTTCCAGACTCAGTTAATGTTTAAGTGGGCAGAGCCGAAAATCTGCAGTGAAGAGCTGCCTGATGCGGTGAACCTGCCCCCCTCTGGTGTGAAAACCAAGTGCCCACCGTGCAACCCGGGCTTCTTCAAAACCAACTCCAGCACCTGCGAGCCCTGTCCCTATGGGGCATACTCAAATGGGTCTGGTAATGCCACTGGGTTTGTTCTGCTGGGCTCTGTGGGAGCATAGCTTGATTCCTGGTTCTTTACCCTCAAACATGGAAAAAGCTGGGCTGTGCTGAGCACATGCACCGTGTGCCTGGGAAACAGGCAGCGTCAGCCTCTTCCTGGTGGTGGGGCTGAGGTGGGCTAGATGGAAAATTGGGGAGGCTGTGCAGACAAAGGTGGGACATGGGCCCTGCAGGCTGGGCTGGGCCAAGAGCGCTACACGGCTGCGGGTGGGAGTGGGGTGAGCTCAGCTGTGTGGTGTGGGTGGTGGCAGCAGCCTAGTGGGGGAAGTGGGGGGCTTGGACAGAGGCAGCGCTGGGAGGGTTGGCTATGAGGGGGCTAAGGCGAATTTTGGGGTAGCTATAGCCCCCCGTCCTCAATTCCCCCTAGTGCCACCCCAGCTGGGAAAGCAGCAATTGGAGGTTTATTCTCTGCTCGCTCTTGCATTCTGCTATCTAGATTTCCAGGTCCAAACTTAGGGCTGAGGTGTGAGGGACTGAGCAGGTCTGACCCCCCTCAGAGGATTTCCCAGATGTTTGTGACACTCTGTCCTTTCCCATATTGCTACGGGAGCAAGCAGGAAGTGGATCCATCATGGCCAGGTGGAAGGGAGCCTTGGATAGGGTGTGTTAGTATGGAGAAGGAGCTACCAGCCCTGGAAGGGATGAGAACCACTGACTCGTGCTTTTGCCAGCCCCTCACTGTGAGCCACTGCCTTCTCATTAGGGCCAGAAAGAACCAGTCCAATCCTGTAGCCAGAGCCATGCAGGAAGTTATGGGAAGCCCATGGCTTATGAGCCAGTGAGAGTATCGTTCTTAGAAAGACACCCAGTTCTGGGGTCCCAAAAAGCGCGTCCCCGAAAATCTCTGCAAACCTCTGGAGCAACTTGCATATAGTACCCATGCATTTAGCTTATCCAGAACTGATGTATATATATTTTTTTAAAGTGCTGCAAGTTTTAGCACAGGTACTCCATAAACATGCTTTTGAACAGCACTATGGCACCTATTTTTTTATAGTACAAACCATGTAAGATATTTGTCCAAAGGCTTATTACTTACCACATTGTTCATTGGGCTAGGCCCCACCAGAGACAACAGCATTTCAAGCCATGGTGACTGCACAGCTCAGCACTGCTCAGTATGTTTGTATATTCCAGATACCCCCACAAAGGATCCATGTGCTAATTAGCTCCCACTCATGATTGGAACTGGGTGTCCTGGGATGCTCCAAAATTATATGCAAATGAGATGCAGGTTCTGCTTCACCTCA